TAATCTTATCCATTAGCATTGCTTCCCAATACAAACTTTCATCCCCATTTTCACCCCCTTAAGGTATGATTTCCGGGATAAAAAATATTTTATGTCCTCCCCAGGGTCTCAAACTATCTTCTTACCAAATTTCATCTAAATCGGTTCAGAAGATTCAGAGATTTCCCCCCAACGTGCGTTCACCTTGTCTTGGTGGGGGGCTCAGTAGTGCCCGGCAATCCAACCGGGCGTGAAGCTAAGAAACGCACAGGGAGGTTGCCTACTTCGGTGGGCGGTGGGAGGTGGCCCTCTTCGGGGGGCGGTGTACCATGCGGGTTGCTCCTGGTACTTCTCTGATAGCAGAGTGGACTGTGGAGCAACCCCATGGTTGTGGTGGTCTGCTTCGGCAGACCTGCCGTCGGGGCGTCGTAGTTGAATGCGTAAGCGATCCTGCGACGCCCCATTAAGACGGGGGAAGGTTTTGTTGGGTTTTAGTGAGTAGTACTGGCTGTATTACGCCGGTGAGTCCCATTCCGGCATTTCCCAACGTTAAAAAAAAAAACCCCTACAACGTCAGAAAGTTCAAACTCACAAAATCACAAACTTACAAACTACTAAACTTACTTTACCTCTTTATATTATTAGTATAGATAACAAGGTCATTTATTGCATTCTTGATATTAGAAAAAAATAAATTGTTACCAGATTCGATTAAATATATGTTATTTTATTTTTATTTAAATCTTTCTAATGCAATAGGTGCCATACAGCTACACAACCTTACTATTATCTTTAATAGTTTATGTAATCTTTTATTTATATTTTGTGGAAATTCTATCATTCTCAAGATAAAATATATTTCAATTTATAAACCATAACATAATATACGTAAAATTCTACGTAAAAATCCAACGAGAAGTTTCTATATTATTATAATATTTCTAATATTACAATGCAAGTTACATTGAATTGTACTGCAAAGTAAAATTTTAAAAACATACTTAAATCGTATTGTAAAGTGTTTTTACTAGTAGGTACGCCTTTTAAAAACCATATCCATTTCTTCTAAAACATTTTATTTTACCAGAAAAATTGTGTAAAAAAGTTGTAAGTTGCAATATTAATTCAGCCCTTGGGTATAAGAACACAGATTTATAAATATTGTAGAAAGGTCCTATCTACAAAATTTAAAATTAGTTCAATCTCGATAAAATTAAAGGCGTGAGTTTCACCTAGTTGTGTATAAACAGCCATAGCGTTATCATTCAGAATGCACTTACTATCAAAGAAGAGTCTTGTAATGTTTCATATTCATAAAAACAGAAACCACACAAAGTAAGTATTTTAAAGTGCTCTCATACAACATGTGTCAGTCACTGACATGAAAGTTCATAATTTAATGTAGTTTCAAAGCTTTTCAAAGTTAGTATAATTTGTTTTGCAGTAAACTTTGTTTTCGCAACTTCTCATCAAGTTTTAAAAGAGTACTTGAAAAATGCTAACATTTTAATTAATGACATATTTTTATTTATTTCGTTAATGTTACATGTATGTTGAACTTACTTGAATAATTCAAACAATCGAGTCTAAAACAATCCGTATTATCAGTTAAAACTAACAAGTGTCTTCTCTTAATACTTTTTTGAAGAAAACTAATAATACTAAGGGATTTGATGTAACAAAAAAATTATTATAATCTATGTAAAAATATTAGAATGTAATACATTAGCACGAATGAAGTAAACCATCATGACTCGCCATTAAAAAAATTATAAAGAAGTAAGGATGTCAATTTTACTCTATAATATCTTGCAGAATTATTGTTCCCTCACTATTTTTATTTTACAGTGTGTGGGTAATCGTAATCTCTGTTCTTTAATTATGATGGTTTATAGTGAAAAAATATACCAAATTAACGGTTTACCTTAATATAAAAGGTATTTTTATGGGTGCATCAAAAATTTCGGATTTTTGCGAGAAATTAAGGTACTAAGTCAGTGTTAATTTTTTTTGGACATGAACACACAGCACCATCTCAGTTCCATGAGGCCTGTGTTAAAGTACATATATTATATAACTTTAAATACATACATATTATGTATTTAAAAATTCAAGCTCGGTAATATTTTGGTTATTCTAGAAAATATTTATTGTAATAAAAATTTGCGTTTACTTAAATAAAATGGAAAAAGTTGATGATCAAGTTGGTACAATTTTTTCTAATCCACTGATCAGATAGTGGTCAAAATTCATCAGTTAACCATATTGTTTTTTTTTAAAAAGCATCCTCATAATCGATGTGAACAGCAAAACTGGCTTAAAAAAAAACCATAAAAAAAAATAACATTTAAAAAATTTAAAAAAATACGTAACCACATATTAATTATCCACAAAAAAAGCTAGAAACCTGATTTGTCAATCTATTAATTAAAGAAATAAAGATATCTAATATTGTTAAGGTCACTACTTTTGTAGGACCTTATCAATATTAGAATGTTGTTGAATTGGTTTTAAATATAATACGATATAATATGACCACTTCAACAGAAATAAGACCGTCAAAAATATTCTTATATTATACCGTTCAATGTTTTATTGTTTGCTTAACTTGAGTCACTCGCAGCCAGTCCCTCCCTCACTTGGCATTTCAGTAAGCAATTTTCTAATAATGATGATGTTCTCCTAGCCGATTCCGGCTACGGCGGCCAATCTCATTGAGATTAGCCAACTGCGCAGGAGATATTATAGTGCTCAAGTGTATGCGCAGACACAAGTGCATCTCTATTTCTATCACTATCATACTCCGGTGCGATGACCACTCGATACGACCGGTGAGAGTTAAGGCGCAGGACTGACGGCTTTACGTGCTCTCCGAGGCACGGGGGTGAAACACCGCCAACTTCCCAACTCTGGGCTGTCACTGAAACTTACTATACAGAAAGACTCAATAACTAAACTTGGCTCGACCCGGGACTCAAACCCAGGACCTCCGGGTGTGCAGCCGTACATGCTAGACACTACACCACCGAGGCAGTTAATATTCTAATATGATATGGGTAACTGTAAAATAAAGAAAATCAACCCATAGCATTTTATATACATATACAATTAAAAATCATTTTTATGTATGTTATTATTTTTATTCAGTAGGTAATAAAGTCACTTCAAATATTTTACAGTAGTAAAATGCCTACTATATGAAAAAATATCCCGTTATGCCAAGTTTATAGCCTCTTTTTTATCCCATAAAAGGCTGTGGTTGAAAATAATAAGCAGTCTTTGCAAGATAATATCTCAATTTATATGAAAAGTTTGGACTCCATAGTTGGATACTTTTATATTATATCTGTCTTTGCTTTCGAAATCAATTGCTAGATTATGTATTATTTCTGTCAGTATAGGAAATCAAATAATTAAGACACATATTAACTTTTTTATATTGTTTTTATTTGTTTTTCATTGATATTTAACGAAAATGTATCGAGCGGAGTTTCTCAATGCGATGGGTTGTCTTTACGCAATCTGGCTACAATTAATTAAATCTTTAAAAAAAACCGACTTCCAGGCACTAAAATGTAAAAAATAACTAAACGGGGGTTTTCATTTAGCCTAATCAGATATTTTCGAAGTTGGTGCCAGCCGAAGCATAGCAAATCTAATATATTTCGATACGTAGAACACATATTTATTATTTACCTATTAGATATTCACATCTTAAATTATTTTCGGCTGGCACCGACTTCAAAAATATCTGATTAGGTATCTATTCTAAACGAAAGCCCCCGTTTCGTTTTTTTACATTGTGCCTGGAAGTCGGTTTTTTTAAGTTTTTATTTGTCCATTTTTAGTGTAGACTTACGTCTACCCAAAAAAAAATTCCGAATCGATTCAGGCGTCTTCGAGTAATCGGTAAACACATATAAAAAAAAGATTTCGATGAATTGCGAACCTCCTCCTTTTTGGAAGTCGGTTAAAAAGAATTTGATTCGATATATATGAGGGTTTCTCTGTAAACTGGGCAACTAGCTGTCTCAGATAGATACCACAAACAACAATCATAATATTATTTTTTTAGGGAATCTTCTATTTATTATCTGTGCCCAGTGCACAATATCCATATAAATTAATTTTATTATAATAAAAAGGTTTCTGAAGCGCTTAAAAATCAGTCCCCTGATAAAACAAATGTGGAATTTTTACTTTAAGGTCGATTAATTAATACAAAGAAAAGATTAATAAACATAATGTAAATGTAAAATGTAAAAAAGCTCAATATTTTCTATAGTACTTGAAGTCTTTTTGGTTCTACTGCTTTTTATTATTAACTATTTATTCCATAAGTAACTTTTTTTCAAAATTCAAACAAACAAGTGGCAATTTTGTTACGAAAGTTGGCCAGTTTATAAAAAAACACCCATATACGAGAAATGCAATTAGATACCTCCTAAGCTTTATTATAGGTAGGTTTATAGGTATAAATTACCTTTAGATTACTACTGGGACATTTTTTAAAAAACATTCATTGAACAGGATGAATATAAATTTAATACTTTATTCGCAAGATAATAAGATTATTATTATACATATAATAGGAGTGTATTTTTTATTATTTTAAATGAATGTATTACTTGGATATAAGAAATAAAATCAGTACAAAATATCTCATAAATTCATTTATTATTATTTTTTTAATAAAATGATATTTTTACAAAGATAATATTCACATGAAATTTATTACATCTATATTTAAATATTAACAGTTGACAATCAGTTGCGGATAAAACTTGTCTTGACGTATAAGAATTATTCTAAACCTTAAATATCATATATATGTACAGTAATTTACAATTCATTAATTACGTACATCTTTTGAAAATAAATTCGATAGGTACAGATATAGTATTCTCATTAAATGATAATAGTTTCGTTAATTGTATTGGAATCACAGCCAGTAAATGAATAAAAACGATAAAGAGAAATAGTAAAAAAATATAATTAACATGCACTAAGATAGTTATTTAGGTATTGACATGCTCAAGCATTTCAGGTAGAGCATTGTATGCTACCATATTACCTAAGGAACTCTTTGGTTCTTTTTTTGTTACTATAGCAATGATTTCTTCTTCTGGAGGTGGGGGTGGGAACTCTGCATTAGTATCCATTGCTAATGATATTTCATCTACACTTAAAACTACTTCCCTATTGTCAATTTCAACTCTATTTCGTTCTACTGTAGAACTATCTTCCATTATACTGTACAAATTTTCAGATTTACCTTTATATATTTGTCAAGAGCTCATGTAATAAGCTTCACTAATATTAACTTCATCATTAACAATATTACTCTTTTGTGACCATTCTTTTTGTTGGTGTTTTATCCTATAGATAATCTCATCATGTATTACGCCAAAACACATGGCAGTTAATGCTAAACCTGTTAAAGTGTAAACAGAACAAAACCATAAAACTATGGAGTTTATTGTGTAGTACCTCACTCCATTGATAGTGGTGTAACTCATCCCTGGTATAATGTTACCGAAACCAATTGTGCTTAAAGCCATGAAACAGAAATAAAACCCATCTACAATACTCATATTATCTAAATTTAATAAAACAATAGCCCCTATTGATATATAAATAAATATCGCTGCAAGACATAGCAATACAGGAGCTAATATGCTTAAACCATGCATTGATACTTTAGAATCAGTATCGGGCCAACTAATAATGTCATCTTTGGCTGTACTCGTTGTAGGTCTCTCTGATATAGACGAATCTTTATGACTGTCTGTTTTTAATACGTAACATTCCTCTGTAGGTGTTTTACTTGTGTTTTGACTATTAAGCATTTCTTCTTGTTGCCTTTTTAGTTTCATTCGTCTTTCTTTTTCAGCCATTCTTCTTTCATCGTAGCAGCAATAGCCACAGTTAGAACATAAACAGCAGCAAAGAGCTCTACTGAAGACACTTCGAGCCATTTTGGATAGCAGTGATCCAACACTCGAAAGATATACAAGTGTTAAAGGTATCCCAAAAAGAGCATAAATTATAGTAACACCTTTTCCCAATATTGTCCTCGGAGCGATGTTGCCATAACCTAGAAATAATAAAAACATATATTTTAACTTTTAATTTCCTCCTTTTGCTTAATATAATTAAATGCAAAATAATGAGTAGTTCAAATTACAATATCAATATTTATTATATTTTACATATTATTATAAAACAAAACTCTGTTTTCAATAATTATGAGAAATTGCATTTATAAGTATCAATAATTATGACGATTTTTTATGCCGTGATTTTATATTAACAAGTTAGGTACTGATTACTATCATTGTCTTATTAAGTAAAATAAGGCAATTCAATGGCCTAATATAGGTATTCTTGTATATTTAATTCTGCTGAAGTTTTTGGGTAGTTTCACTTTGATAGCCTTGTATTTTTTAAATACAAAAACAAGCATTCTAATTCGATAGACATAAAAAAACGAAAATGTCGTCCATCAAGAATAAATAATATGCACAGCATCCGTGATACAATAGCGAATAGTCGATTTGATGTGTTTAGGCGTTACGATGAAACATACGTTAGGATAAATAACCGTACATACGAGTATTATGCACATTGACTGCTAAAAACATAACCCACGCTTTTCAATTTGCCGAAGTTTGGTATCAATTAATTCTAAGATATTATTTTATACATAAAAGTAATTTAATTAAAACAAAACACTTACTTAACTATCTTTAACTTTATTAAACTTACCAATTGTTGTGAGAACAGTTAAAGAGTAGAAAAATGCGAGCGCCAAATTCCATTCGTGCTCCTCGTAATGGTTGCTAATGTCATTCCCAGTAAATTCGCCCAGTGCCATTTCTCTGTAACTGACGCCATATTGCGACGCCATTTCTGTCGTAACCCTTTGCATCAACTCATTTTGAAACTTTAAAATTTCTTGTGCAGCTAGCCGTGTCCAATTTTCTCTGTACAAAATATTTAATGATACTGTTATCTCCCAAATATTTTCAACGGCTCTGCTTCTCGCTTCCCAGAAATAGTTAGCGGATAACGTTAAATTCCCATAGTCATAATCATACTCTACGTCCTTTTTATTAGGATTATTATCTTTGTGTGTTATCTTTTGTTTATCTGGTAGTATTCTAGGTCGGACTGGAACTTCGGCTCCGCCTTCTATTGATAAAAATATGACTGAGCCCAGAAACGTATAAGCCAATAAAACCGAAAATATTACGCTATTTGTAAGACAACCGATAATGAATTGCTTTCGCCTATACTTAGTTGTTTTAAAACAAAAGCAGCAAACAACTTTCTGCCTCGGAGTTTGTACTTTCTTTCTACTATTAGACGCCATAGAATCCGCATCCTGGCACTTGTCCAAAGGGATACCTCCATTGAGCGCGGGCTTTGCCAACGTATACTGTTCAAATCGGTTGATTGCTTCTTTATCCAATACTACATGGTTGATATCCATTTTCGTCTTTTATTTATCAACTTTGTATGGCGATGACATTATCTTTTGGTTTTCATCTGTAACAAAAAAAAATGTTATAATATAAAAGTTATATTAAACTTTCCTCCTTCCTAAATGGATAGCCATTTTTCAAAGTCTTTTGGGGCGGACGAAAAATGAATGACAAATGAAAAAAATGAAGTAAGTGATTGATTAATGTACGACTAAAACGTTGTCTTTAGTATGAAATAAATGTTGATAAAATCTCAAAGTAAAACATTTTTTATATTTATACACATGTGTATGTATGTATACGTATAGTTTAAGTTTATATCATATCAATATAGTATATAAAAAATTAACACTGAAGAATTATACTTTTTGCATACATAATTTTATTTAAAGATACAGATTTCTAACCGAATATTATACAAAAAATCCTCAAACCCTATCCTTTTTATGCAAAAATATATAGTAGATGTATATTTATTCTTATAAATTTCACGAAAATCTACTATGAATTCGTTTTCCAAACACGTACAGTTGGTTCGATTTCGAGGCAAGATGAACGCTGATAACGCGTCATGAATAAAAAAATATATTATTATATTTTTTATAGCAAAACTCATTTTCACACCTTATAAGCGAGGGCCGAGAAAATTGATACTTTGATGGATTGATTATTTGTGCCCTCCCCAAGGAAACTGTTTCGTCTACCGCTAGCTGGAGAAGAAGGGCCTGATATAATAATTTATTTATGTATTCATTTATTCGCGTTATTTACGAAATTAATTTAGATGTTAGTTTTCATAGTAGGTATAATCTGTATATGTAATGTTAAAATAATAGTTGCCTTCTTTACTTGCAGGTACTCTATGTGTTTCTAAACAATTCATCTGATTGTGATGAAACTTTGCTGATTTGTTCTGCGTACTATCGCGAAGGTTCCTGGCCCAAAAAATTATATGTTTGTCCCTATGCCTTCCTAAACCAATCTAAATCTAAAATCTGTAGGGACGCACCCAAGTGAATCGGGGGTATGCCGCTAGTGTTTTATAAATGTTGTGGACTTGGATGTAAAAGTTTACAGTTAATTTTAGATCTTTTAAACTACTCAACGGATTTTAATGCAGTTTTCAGCAATAAATAGAGTGTAGAATGAAGATGAAGAGTGTAAAATTTGAAGATTTGTATTTCATACTAACCGTCAATTTTAAAACGTTCCTAGGTTCAAAACCGAGCGAAGCGAGGGTGAGTCGCTAGTAGGGGATATAAAGAAAAGAGTAGTAAAGCTCGATGGCAGCTAAACTTTCTTAATTGTAATTATCATATATTTTAAACAAACATAAAATGTAACGTCCCAGTAAAAACTTAATATACGTAGGAAATAACTCAAAACGAAAACTCGATATTCAAGTAACAAATCAGGCGTATGAAGGACAAGGGTGAGCGGGTTTTTATACATGTATCTGTTATCTATATAGTATTTTCATAAATATCTTGTATCAAATTATATTAAATTTTATCTTAAGTCTACATGTATGTAAGAAAATTATACAGCTAGCAATTCGTACTGTTTATTTCACCAGAGACTGTTGATTCGATTTTATGTATAGTGAAGTGGTTAGAGTTGTCTATTGAAGGCACCCGCCTTACAATGCGTTACTAATGGCTGATGATGGGCGTAAAAAAGGAAATCTGTCGACAAACAGAGAAGAAAAATGAAAATGTACTGTACTGTTTTGTCTTTGTCTATTTATATATGTATGCATATGTAGATATTAACGTTGTCGGTAGCTCCATGCGCATACTATAACTATGCCTCTAATATAGGAGTTACAGGCAATGGTAGCCTAGTGGTAACGCGCTTGTTTGGGAAACCAAGTAAAAAGGGTTGAAATTCTAGGTCTAGCACTTCTAATATTTTCAAGTGCGAACCATTTCCAACATTTCCACTTGCCATACCTTAAAGGAAAACATCATCGGGAAACCTGCATTTGTGAGAAAATTTAATAAGTTTTTAATAGATATATGAAATCTGCCCGCACTTGGCCAGCATGATAGACTATGGCCTGAACCCCCTTGTATTGTGGGGAGGCCCGTGTCCAGCAGTAGGACGATAAAAAGCGCTCAATACAACAATGGACTTTCATAAGTTACTATAGCCTTTAGACCCCTTTAATTCAGTCTTGATGCAAAATCTATTCTTAGCTATCGTCACCTACCTATAAACTATCTAGCTACCATATACATACCCGTATATCATATCAGCTTTATGACTCAAGATATTTTCGTCGTTTTTTTAAAAACCTATTATAAATAAAGGAAAAAAATTATATCTTAAGCAGAATATATTTCTTTGCTCTTAATAAAGTGTGAGCAATCGTGTATTCAATAACTAATAATAATAAAAAAATGAGATATGACAAATTAAATTAAATAATTTTTAAACAACTTAATATATTATACTGTATACATAATAAAAATATCAAGGTTAAATAAAAATACTTAAATCGATAACTTATCGCCATCCTCAGAAAATTTGATTATAATATGATGTTGGAAAGCAATACAAAGTTTTATATACTGGAGGAAAGCAGAAAATTAAAGAACTCAAATTATAAGAGAACTTACAGAAAACTAATTGAAATACTTGATTAATCAGAGAATACGTACTATGTATTATTATTTAATCATGTTTACAATAACTAAAAGATATGAATATAGCCATTAGATCCATCGTCTATATTATTAAAGAAACTCAGAATTAAGTTTTTTAAATTGATAAAATATACAATCATAATTTTTATAAATGACATTAACTTGTCGAGTAATTTTAGTGAATATAGCAAAGGTGGACCCTCTTCAAAAACATCGACAGTGGAAAGAACATAATCCGAAATGAAATATCAACGTTCTGTCGAAGTGTATGGCACAAATATACTGTAAATGTATTAAAATATTGAAAATTGTTGAACTCAAAGAGATAAGAAAGTGTCACAGTAATGTGGCGATTTTCTTTTGCGAGTAATTTGAGATATGAAATGAAAATGAAATAAAAACATATGTACTTAAATCTCATATGATCTAGCTTTATTTATTCATAAGGACGTATTGCCTTAAAGATCAATTAATAATCATTATTGATAGAATTTTAGTCTCTACTAGAGGCTCACCCTCGCTCCGCTCGGGTTGGTCCCTAGGTACGTTTTGACGGTTAGTATAGATATCTCAGAGATGAGGTATTTTCCCGCAGTAAAAAGTATCCTATATGTTGACCCGGGTAACCAGCTATCACCATACCAAATTTCATCAAAATCCCTCCAGTGATTTTTCTGTGATGCGGTAACAGACAGACAGACAGACAGACAAAAATTCTAAAAACTATAGATTTGGCCTCTGTATCGATTATAATATTTATTTCAATAAGATTTTCCAAAAAATATGTAATACTTAGTTACAATTTTATTATATGTATAGATATATAATATAGCTATGACTTCTTTACACTTACTGTATGAGAAAATTCTTGGTAGCTTTAGTAAGTTTAAAAAGCCGATATGAGTTATGCAAATAAGCTCTTAGGTGATGTGTCTACCTAAGATAGCAATTAAATCGCTTAATTAATATATTATATTTTGGAATTTTACTTGTTGGAGACCCAATTTTATAAAATTAAATAGACTAAAAGAAAGATAACACTGTCGACCCCCATTAAAGATTTAGTCGAAAATTAATTCAAGTAAGGGCTAAGTTATTCTAAGAACTTAATATTCAAATTTTCTATTTTCTGTGGAGTATTTTTTTCTGTAATAATATTTTTTAACGAAAAGGACGTGTATTAGTAGTACTTAAAAGTTAAAATTGTTATATTTTTAGTTGTAGGTAAATATAAAATTTGTAGGGATCTTTGTTTTTTATGTAAAATCTAGTTTTTTCTTTTATAGATTTTAGCCGTGCATTTTTTAACTAAAACATCGGGTAAATTTGACTCGCATACCACGAGGTATAAATGAAATATTGTGATATGTTCTAAAAATATATTTACAATTTTTATTTTATTTAAAAAACAGATTTGCATTTTAAAGTATTTTTATGAAAAAAATTGCGGCGGATAGCTCTTCAAAATATTTTTTTGAAATATCTTAAGGCAGTGGTTGCCAAATTGTAACGTGCTCGCTTGGAAAACGAAGTGATTCTGGTTCAAATCTTGGGTCTCTAACCTCTGATATCTTCATATGCGTATCATTTTCAACATGAGTACCATTTATGTAACGGTGAAGGAAATCATCGTGAGGAAACCTGCATGTCTGACAGAAACTAGCTAGTTTTCGCAAGACGTGTGAAGTCTGCCCAGCAGTGGGCCGTTAAAAAGGGCTGGATGAGATGGGATGTTACAAGATCTATTATTATCTAAATATTTTTACATCCTACTTTTAAAGCCTTAAAAGGTAAGGAATGGTGACGACGAAGATGACACAATGTTTACGATTTCAGAAGCATAAAGCTCATCATCATCAAATATTGACTTGAACAAAATACTCGCTTAGGAATATTTATCACAATTTCGAACTATCAAAGACGTGACGTAATTTTAAAGGTTACATTTTTGCCTATTGGCTTTGGAATACTAAAAATGATGCCGACAAATAGTAACTATGATATATATTATTTGATATATATATATATATATATATATATATATATATATATATATATATATATATCATATTATTTATTTATATATATGTCATATTGTCATTGTATGAAGTGTTGTAAACATAATCTCGCAGTGAATGCCTTGATATTAGTCAATAGGAGAACTCACTACTTTGATTCAATCATACGGAGCGTTGATATTTAGCAATCAATATGCAATGAATGGTAATAACAAAATCCCCTATAGTTCTCTATCACGTCATTCATGTCCAATACGGATACGCAGCTTAATATGAAGACAAATAAACTTCGCTCGAGTTTGTCACTAGAAACAGTAGCAAATGAGTTCCTCCATATATAGATTATATCCTCCATTTGTATGCGTTCTGAATTTCATTCAAATCCGCCTAGCCATTTGAAAAGTGCGTAAAGCAATAACAAAAATACACACACAATATACGAAACTTCGCATTTATAATACTATTAATAGTCTGACTGAATATATATATCATATTATTATCTTCTCTGCGCTCCTATGCGATTACGAAAATTTTGTAGCGAATAAATTTCTTGAAGATTATTATTAAATTAACATAAGAGTCAACGCGTGGTGCATATTTTGTAAAATGAGATTTTTTAGTCTTAATACAACACTTACAAACAATAAGAATTTAAGCAGGACATAAGTAAAATATTGGGCTGCTATTTTAAATACGAAAGTGGGTATTAGTGTGTAGAAGAATTAGGGTATTTAGTTACAGCACATTAGCAACTGTTAGGCACCTGCGAATGTACCCTAGCAAAGCGAAGGATAGTAATAAATATATTTTCATACTAGCATTGCCCGCGGCTCTGCCCGCGTTCAGATGACCAAAAACCAAATTCTTAGGTTTTACATACATATACATAGTATATTCTTACATTGCAGTTATTCTAATTTTTCTCAAAAATAAGATATTTTCCCGCGGTAAAAAGTATCCTATATGTTGACCCGGATAACCAACTATCACCATATCAAATTTCATCAAAATCCCTCCAGTGGTTTTTCTGTGATGCGGTAGCAGACAGACAGACAGACAAAAATTATAAAAACTATAGATTCGGCCTTTGTATCGATAATAATGTTTATATCAATTAGATTTTCCAAAAAATATTTATTGTACAGTTTCGGCTTAGTTACAATTTTATAATATGTATAGATAACTAAAAAACTCCATATTGGCACTTGTAAAAATGATCATAATTATGTTAACTCGATATTTTAACTAAGGGCCATTAAAGACTTTCACTTTCTTCCTCCCAGTATCAGGTCAATTCAATGGTTTTAACTTATTGTATTGTCATCCTGATTTCATATTATAACAGTTACACATACAGTTTGCAACATTTACAAGTTATTGTTATATAACTAGTTTTTATAAAGAAAAATCGCATAAATACATTTTAAATTGTCTATTTCTAGAAAATCTTTAAAAGTATCGTTTAACGTTTTCCACCGACACTTGTGATTTCAACCGCTAATTAACAGTGTATTTCGTGTCGGCTCTGTGTATGGTCTACAAAAGAAATTTTAAAAATAAACAAATAATGATTCATTCTGTGTAGTTTTTTTAGAATAATATTATCAGAAATACATTTAAGGCGTGCTATATATGCGTATATATAATAGAATTATTTTATATATTTTTATATTAATATATTTTTCACATAATTTTCTTCTACAGTATATGTATTATCAGAAGTAAGAAAATTATATCACGGATAGGTGCCTCTCTGAAGAATTTTAGTGAAGCGTATGCGGCGTAGATGACTTGTCCTATTTTAACAACTGTTGGCAGAACTCCAGGTTAGGTTGCTGGAGTGTGGATATCAGACTGGCGAGTGTGTCTTGCGACATAATCATCAATTGCTGGCAACATTACCCGCAGGTACCTCACTCGCCTTATTCCCTCGAGTTCGCGGCATTTTGACTAACTTACACCTATACACGTTGGGCAGCCACTTGTAGCGTGGTTAGGTGTCGTTGGGGTTCACTAAAACTCATTGTTACTAATATAAGTTTAATTTTAGCACATCTACGAACATGAAAAAATATTACACAGCTAAAGAGTTTTAAATAGCCAAAACACATTACAAACAGACGCGAGCGCGGGAATTCCTTACCGCCCGGCGAAACGATTCTGAGCGCACTCTGTCGACCAGTGCCTCTAGCCTCTAGCGGTCGGTCAACGCAACGTTCATACAGATAAATAATAACTTAACTCCTAAAGACGGTACCACATGCTATAATATACTATACTAGCGGCTCACATTCGCTTCGCTCGGGTTCGCCTCTAGAAAAACAAAAACAAATCTATCCCTCGGGAACCGTATATTTCTCGGGATAAGTAGCCTATGAGTTATTGCATACTATAATCTATCTCTGTGCCAAATTTCATCTAGATCCGTTCAGCCGTTCTGACATGAAAGAGTAACAACAACATCCATACATACTCACAAACTTTCACATTTATAATATTAGTTGGTATAGATACCTATTTATAGATAGAATCTAATCTAATCTACTTATTATAGAATTATTAAAAGTAATTCAATAATGTAGTTTTATTGTAACTAATTTAGCTTTATCTGTTGAATAATGTATAGTTATGTATAGCATTATTTCTTTTGATCCATGGAATTAAAATTCATTATAATCAATTATGTTTTTCAATATTACATTTTTTCTTATAAAACTGATTCCATGACTTTTTTAGACTAAAATGATTTGTCGCTCATAATAAACTTTTAAATTTATATTTATTAATAAAACTATAAAGATTACCGTCTTTTTATTAATCATTTTTGAAAAAGAATTACTGATGAAGTACACTGTTAATGAAATAAAAAAAATAAAAAAATCTCCTTATTAGTTTTTGCGGACGGTATATTTGATGAACAAGCTTGATTAGTGTAATTACAATAGTTTTAGTTCCCCACAAACTTGTTTAATCCGTTATATTATGTCACCAATATGTGGTTATGTTGTGGCTATCAGCTGATTAGATATCACTAGAACAGTTTTAATCGTATATTATTTTACAAAGTAAATATCTTAGACTTGAAAAGAAATACAATTTAAAAACTAAGTGCATTCAATATAAATACTTCAGAGATGCTGGAAATATATATCTTTCTAAATAAATTGCAATCAAGCAATAATATCCACTAATGTGAAAAACATGTAAGTATATAATATATTTATTTTAGATTTTCCTTCTTTTATATCGCAATAACGCGGTAACATGATTTTATTTGTTTTGTATATAATATACTATCTGCCTCTATGTTACTTGTGGGACATTGGTTCATTGAAAAGAATTATTACAACGGGTAAAGGTGGCCTTTAGGAAGAGAAGTGATGTATGGATAAAAATATACCTATGTAATTTCATAATTATTTAGCACTTTTTAACTTCACGGGCCTTCTCTTAATATTCCACCACCCTTGCCAAATACGGGTTACTGGGCTAGATAGATACCTTTAAAATCTATTAGGATCTTTTAGACATGCAGGTTTTCTCACAATATTTTGTATTAGTAAATGGTAATTGTTCGCGACGCTTACTGATGACTGCCGACAAGTCACATCTGCGTGCGCATCGATATAGTTCGTTTATAGTGTTTGTTCGCGATGCCTTCCGACGGGTGTCGACAACTGCCGAGCGGTCACATCTATGTGCACGTCGATGTAGTTCGTTTATAGTGTTTGTACGCGGCGCTAACCGACGAATGTCGACGACTGCCGAACCGGTCGCATCTACGTGCACGTCGTTATGTTTCGATTATGATATTCGATTGTTTGGTATGTTCGCTTTCGTATAGTTTTATAATTATTATTTTATAATTAATAATACAATATTTTGTTCGTTTAAATACTTACATTTCTGTTAAAGTACTTATAGTAATAGTTTTTCAATAAGGAGTATCCTTATAGATCCTTATAGATCCTTATTTGTAATTACAATATGTTTTTTGTAATTTTCGTATTTAATAATAGTTTAGTAAATTTTCATATTGTAATTCATTTAAAGTGTTATAGTTTATAGAAACATAGGTACATACTATAGTATACATACTAAAGTATTTAGTTGTCAGGTTAGCTTTACGCTACGCTTTGTAACATCATATAATTTCGAATAGTATGACATATCTACTAATTCTATAGATGTTTTGTAGTTTACGGATTTCTTATCCTAATATAAGTTTCGATATTTTATAGTAACAAATTGAATGTTAAATATTTTCACTGTTTTGTATAATATTGTCAATATAACTAATTTATATTGTTTTTCGTTATAGTTTAAAATAGATAAATAAGTTGTGAAATTAATATAACTTAGTTTTAGTAAAATAATACCGTAAAAGTTATGATGTTTATAGATCGATCTTTGTATTTTACGCATATTTTGCTATATTTCGTAAGGTTATTCTGTAATATAAGTATTGTAATTAACATAGTTAAATAGATAATTTCTCAAGCTTTATTTTGATATATAATACATAGTTACAGGTAAAATAGTATTAGAGATAATCAAAGAATAATGTAAATAGTATAGTGAAAATTATTGTTAAATAAAGTCAAAACGGCTCGGTGGCTTGCGGCTCTCTGTATGGTATTGCTCGGGGGTAGTTAAGCTCACTAGGCATTTGCATATTCAGTTAGGAGTTCGCAGTTCGAAGTCGGAATTCGGGATTCATCGGATAAACTCGTAGAAGCAAATAGAAGACTAATAGGAAAATAGTAATAGAAGAGTTGCAAGTCACCTACCGTTTCGTATAGGACAACGATTGCTATTTTATTTCGACGGCGCCGGCACCCCAAGATCCGAACCTATAGTGTACAGGGCGTCAGCGGCTCGCTGGGCAATTTCGATTCGGACTAACGTCGCCGATATAGTTATACATTGCCCTCGAGCTCCGCCCGTCCGGTACAACGCGCTGGTCCTTCGAGCCGGATCTGGGGCGCAGTCATCGTTATCACCATAGTCATCGCTGTCAAGAATCGTCACTCGCCATCACCCTCATCGTTATCGTCGCGGTCGATATATAGTTCATCGTGATGCCGGTCACACGTTCAAGAGGCCGAGCAGAGAAGTGGATGGCTGAAGCGGGGAATGGCTCATCGTCTCGTCCATCACAAGCCATTAACCCAACAGAATCGTCGCACCCATCATCTCACATAGAAGTTGTCCGGTCTCCCCGTACCCCAGGGGAGCCCCATGCCTCTACATCGTCTGCACCGTTTGGGGATTCAACGTTGCCAAGCGGCGGGAGGGGAAATAGTCGTGAAGTTTCTCCTTTACGCCATACAGATTCGAAGCTGGCAACAATCAATATAGAAAACAAATCCGATGGTCCACCAGAAGAACCTATAGTATCGAAACCTTCGGGGTCACAGAAGACTTCAAGGTCAAGACGTAAAGCTAGAGAAGCTCGTCGAGAAATACTTCGCATCAAACTTGAAGCTCGTCGAGAAATTCTTCGCATCAAACTTGAACTTGCGCAACTCGCCTTAGAAGATGTCGAATCAGATAGCTCAGGATATGAAGATGATAGTCAATCGAAAACAAGCTACGTTCGTTCATGGATAGAAAATAGTGAAGACGCTATGCCTAAGCCACAGCCAGAGATGCAAATATTTTTAGAAGAAGATGATCCTCGAAAACCGCATCCAAAACCATCGTCCTGCGTGAAGCCAGAGTCCCTTGCCATAGCTAAAAGACAGGGCACTGAATCAGTTACTACCTTAACGAAACCACATCCAGATTTCGTCAAGCACTACGAAGATTTAACATCGAACACGAAACTGAGACATCCGTTAAGCGAGATAGATGAAATGAAGAAAGAGATAGAACTTCTAAAGCAAAATAGAGCATCGTCCATTGGATGTGAGCCTTTTCATCCGATGTCTTCTGGGTTCACCGCAGCACCTGCTGAATATAGAAAGGCTTTGCTTACTACATCGCCTTCATCCGCCGTCGCATCAAAGGTCATCATGGATCTACCAACATATAGTGGAGCTCTGAACGAGTGGCTATCGTATCGTGCCATCTATCAAAATACTAAAGAGTATTTCAACGATGTGGAAAACACGGCCCGAATTCGAAGAAGCCTCACCGGAAAAGCACTAGAAGTTGTCGACACACAACTCATCGCACATTCGAAGCCAGATGCCATCATAGAAGAACTCGAAATGAATTTCGGTCGCCCAGACACCATTGCTTACCATGAGTACGACAAGCTTCGATCCTTACCTCGTTGTGCCGATACACCGAAGGAAATCCACGCATTCGCTAGCAAAGTTAGAAGTGGTCTCAACTTATTTCGTGCGCTGAAGCTTTACAATTTCATCACTGCTCCAGATCTTATGCGAGCTCTTCGTGAGAAACTTCCATCGTCATTGTGTACCAGATGGTATGAAGAACAAGCTAGCATCGTGAGACCAGATCTGACACACTTCAGTGAATTTCTAACGAAACAGGCAGCATGTCGCACTCCATACGCGCCAACAGAAACTCTCGACACAGTACCCGATCGACGTATAGTACATAGAATATATACACCAACAGATGAACTTAGAAGTCAATATAGAATACCAAGCGAGAATCATGACAGAAGATTCGAAGAGAGAACAAATAATGCTAGATGCAGAGTTTGTTCTAGAGAGGGTCATCATAATAGTAAATGCCCAAAATTTGAAGCTGCCAAGATAAATGAAAGATGGGAACTCGCAAAACAGCATAATCTGTGTTTTCGATGCCTTCAATCTAGACGACCAGGACACACTTGCAGGCCAAAGAAATGTGGCACTGAAGGATGCAATACTACACATCATCGACTGCTACACTTTGTGAAGAAAGAATTAACCAATAGAATCTCGGGTCAGCAAGTGTATTACGTCAACCACTTGGCTAATAGCGAAGAGAAAAAGTACCGAATCGTGCCCGACCTCCAGTACCGGCGGGAACCTCATGGCCGAGATCCTCTCAACAAAGTGGGTAATCTAGTTCTCATAGTTGATTCCCAGCTGCCACAAAATACCTGGTCAAGAGGACGCATCAAGGCAGTATATCCAGATGCCGATGGAAAATTCCGCATAGTAGAGGTACGCACGAAAGAAGGTCCTAAAGAGGGTAACCAAGAAACTCGTCCCTCTACCAAATTAAGAAAAGGTCGTCGCTCACCGCGGAAGAGATGCAGCACCACGCTGGGCATGTTGCTGCACGGCCGGAGAAATGTTCGCGACGCTTACTGATGACTGCCGACAAGTCACATCTGCGTGCGCATCGATATAGTTCGTTTATAGTGTTTGTTCGCGATGCCTACCGACGGGTGTCGACAACTGCCGAGCGGTCACATCTATGTGCGCGTCGATATAGTTCGTTTATAGTGTTTGTACGCGGCGCTAACCGACGAATGTCGACGACTGCCGAACCGGTCGCATCTACGTGCACGTCGTTATGTTTCGATTATGATATTCGATTGTTTGGTATGTTCGCTTTCGTATAGTTTTATAATTATTATTTTATAATTAATAATACAATATTTCGTTCGTTTAAATACTTACATTTCTGTTAAAGTACTTATAGTAATAGTTTTTCAATAAGGAGTATCCTTATAGATCCTTATAGATCCTTATTTGTAATTACAATATGTTTTTTGTAATTTTCGTATTTAATAATAGTTTAGTAAATTTTCATATTGTAATTCATTTAAAGTGTTATAGTTTATAGAAACATAGGTACATACTATAGTATACATACTAAAGTATGTAATTGTCAGGTTAGCTTTACGCTACGCTTTGTTACATCATATAGTTTCCAATAGTATGAAATATTTACTAATTCTATAGATGTTTTATAGTTTACGGATTTTCTTATCCTTTTTTTTTTTTTTTTTTTTTTTTTTTTTTATCGTCAGGAAACCCTGTTGCCGGGTACCCGCCGCCTGGGGAAGAACGACGGGTTATGTGGGGCTCCTGCCGCGCAAAGATGGTAAACGCGCGGCAGCCTACCCACTAAAACCTGACGGTGTCCACCTCAGTCGCCTCAAGGTCGGGGCCACGGGAACCGGAGACTCCTCCGCGAACCCCGACGGCGATTGCCCATCGGCACGTCTCGGTGTCGGAGGGTGGGAGCAACACCCTCGACGACCACCATCTAGAGCAGCGCGCGGGGGACACCGCGCGCGCCTACTCGGGCCAGGTGATTAGGCGGCAAACTTCCCCAAGTCTACCGCCCTCTGGCCGGTGTTAGGGGGGGAGGCGGCGATCGTGCGCCGCTCTCCGGCGCCCGGTCCTCCTGCGGCGGATGGCGAGCTCGGCGTTGGCCTCTCTCGCCCTCTCCGCCGCCTCCTTCTGCGACATCACGTCCTCACAGAAGGACAGGACGGCACCCCAGGACCTTTCGCTTTCAGCCATGGCGGAAATCACGGCCGGCAGCGTCAGGTCCGCCCCCACAACACTTTTAAGCGCCTCGCGCTCCTCCGTCCATGCTGGGCACTCCTCCAGCGTATGCTGGGCCGACTCGTCGGGACAGTCGTCGCAGTGGTGGCAGCGAGGAGAGGGCTCCCTCCCGATCCGACACAGATACCCCCCGAAGCAACCGTGCCCCGAGAGGATCTGCGTGGCGCGGAAGGTTAGAACGCCATGCCGCCTGCCCAGCCACTGCGTGAGAATGGGGCGAACTGCCTCCACGGTCCGTCGGCCAGCGCTAGGGCGCTCCAGCCTGGACCTCCATTCTTCGATAGCGGCCTCCCGCTCATCCACCCTGCGTGGCGCTGGACTAAGGTCCCTGGGCGCAGGGCCTCGACGCCGACAATAGATCGACGCCAAGGAAAGCGCATCCAGGTCCCAGGGCAGAACTCCAGCCAGCACACACGCCGCCTCGCCGGAAATGGTACGGTACCCCCTGATCACCCTGTTCGCCATCACCCTCTGCGCCCGCCGCAGCAGGGCGATGTTTTCGCGACCCAGGGCATCCACCCACACTGGGGCGCCGTACATGGCCACCGATCGGACGACCCCACAATAGAGCCGACGACAAGATGCACTAGGCCCACCCACGTTTCGGCAATAGCCTCCCGAGGGCGGCCGCCACCTTCATCACCCGCGGAACGAGTGAGGCGAAATGAGCACCGAAGCTCCATCGGCTGTCAAGCACAAGACCCAAATACGTCATCGCACTCTTCAGCTCGATGCGCGTGCCACCGACTATGATATGCGCGTCCCGCGGGGGCGCCCTCCGAGGACCATGAAAAAGGATGGCCTCCGACTTCTCCAATGCAACCTCCAGCCCCAGCCGCCTGATTCGTGCGACTACTTGAGCGACTCCTGCCGTCGCAAGAATTGCTGCCTCCCGGTATGTGGCCTGCCGTGCCAACACAAGAGTGTCGTCGGCGTAGCAGACCACACTCACGCCTCTAAGCCATGCGCCCCGCAGCACCCAGTCGTACCCGATGTTCCACAGGAGGGGCCCAAGTACCGAGCCCTGTGGAACACCGCACGACACCTCTCTCGTGCTCCAGCCATCCGGCCCGGGAAAGGTCACGGACCTCCCCGACAGGTAGGCACCGATGACACGGCGCAAGTAGGTCGGCACCCCATGATGTCGGAGCGCCTCCCTAATACAGCTCCAGGGCAACGAGTTGAAGGCGTTGACGATGTCAAAAGACACCGCCAAAACTACGTCACCCTGAGCGACTGCGTCCTGTGCTCGGGCCTTCACCTGCAGAATGGCATCCACCGTAGAACGGCCACGGCGGAAGCCAAACTGAGCGTCCGATAGGTCCGGACCTACTCCCTCCATGTGGGCCGTCAGCCGATTGACCACTATGCGTTCAAAGGTCTTGGCGACCTCTTCGAGCAGCACTATAGGACGATATGCGGAGACAGAATCCGCCGGGCGTCCCTCCTTCCTAAGGAGGACTAATCTGCCTGTCTTCCACCGCTGTGGAATTATGGCTTGAGCCAGACAGGCAGTATATAGTCCTCTCAGCTCTGGACCAAAGATGTTTGCGGTCAGGGCCAGTACCTTCCCGGGAATTCCGTCCAAGCCGGGGGCTGTCGCTTTGGCTCTCAGTCTCGATATGGCCACGGCTAGCTCCTCCTCCGAGACTTCTGGAGCTTCTTCTCCCTCAGTCTCCTCTCCAGCTGCTGGATGTGGGACCATCGGAGGTGGTGTGTGTTCCTCCCTCTGAGGAAACAGGTTCGACACCACCTCTCGCAAGACGTCGGATGGTAGCGTCTGCGTTAGTGGGGGAGCCCAAGGGCGGAGCTTATTGCGCACCATCCGGTACGGCGTCCCCCACGGATCCCTATCCAGGCCCTCGAGCATCTCCTCCCTAGCCGAGGTTTGAGAGGCCACAATCGTCACCTGCAAGACCCTCTTTGCCTCCACATATCTTGCATACAGCCTATCTTCTTCCTCAACGTCTCTGTGGACTCTCCGGCGATGGTGGGTGTACTGACGTCTTGCGCCCACGCAGTCCTCGCGTAGTCGCGCAATTTCCGCTGACCACCAGTACACCTGCTGCCTCGAAGGACGACGCCCAGAGCGAGGCATGGACGTGTCGCATATTCGAGTCAGGGTCCGTTGCACCCACTCGGCAGCCTCCTCCACTGACCCGCTGTTCCGCGGCACCCATGACGCCAACAACGCCGCCTCTTTAAGGAGCCCCTTGTCCAGGCGCCTTAGTTGCCACCGGGGGCCTTCCTGTCCCGAGTTTCGGCTGGGGCCTGGCAGCACCGCCGGATGAGTGGAGATCTCAAACCAGACGTAGAGGTGGTCCGAAAGAGTCTCCACATCACCCAGCACTCGCCAGCCCTGAACACGGCGCGCTAAGGCCGGGCTCGCGAACGTAACATCCACGATGGACCCGCCCTGCCGTCGCACGCACGTATTGGCCGTCCCCCGGTTGAGGACCGTCAAGTTTGTGGCACCCACCCACTCTGCAAGGGCCCTCCCCCGCGCATTCTCTACTGCCGAGCCCCACAAGGCGGACTTTGAATTGAAATCCCCCGCGAGAAGGACTTCCGCAGGCTGGAATCCGGCAATTAAGACCCCTAGCCTGTCCAAAAACTCTTCGAACTCCGCCAGAGTTTTGTTGGGGGAGAAATAAGCCCCGACGACAACGACCCGACCCAGCAGTGCCGCGACGCATCCCAACCCCCTCACAACACGCGTGAAAGGTGGGGCGCCAGCGGCGACCTGGGTCACGATGGCGACCAGTCCGTTGTTATCCCCTGCCCAATTATCCCGCGGGGGAACCGAATACGGCTCCGCTACGACGGCGACCTGCACCGACCACTGCACCAGGCTTTGGACGAACAGGTCTTGGGCTCTGGCACAGTGGTTTAAATTCCCCTGGAGAAACTTAAGGGCCATACTTAAGTGTTCATCGGTGCCACCGTCGCATCCTTGCGGAGGGTTGGCGTCTGGCCTGCCGGCCCAGACGTACCCGATCGTCCCTTTGGACGTGTCTTTTGGGCCTGAACGCATGTTGCGCTTCCAACCGAATGGTTCGCCGGCCTCTTCGCACTCTCGCACACGGTGCAGTGGGGCGCGGCATCGCATTGGCTGCGCTTGTGCCCTGACTGACCACACCTAAAGCATTGACCGCTACGGTCGTCGGGGCCGGAACACTTCGCAGCGACATGGCCACCCTCATGGCAGCGGAAGCAGCGCTGCGCTCTGGGCTTCAGCAGGTCGACTTTGGCCGATACGAAACCCACCAAAAGACGTCCTGCATCCACTAACTTCTTAGCGGCCGCTACCGGGCAACGCACCCATGCTGTCCCCAGACCAGCGCCATTGCGACGGATTTCGCCCACTCGAACTGCTTGCTCTGTGCAAGTTCCCACTCGGCTTACCGCCAGACCCAGCTCTTTCGACGTCACCGAGTCGTCTAAGCCGACAATGCGAATCTCCGAACACTTGGTCGGCCGAGACACTACCACTTGGTCTTCTGGTAGAACTTCCCGGATTTTCTGCGCCAGTGAGTCCGCTTTTTTCGGCACTGCCAGTGCCAGGCAGCTCCAGCATCCGCGCGCCCGTGGCCGCCACCTTAAAGCGGATGTCCGAGATTCCCAGGTCCGTCAGGCTTACATCCCTCTTGACCCGGGCGAACACCTCGCTATAAGTGACGCTATTGTCCGTTGCGCCTGGCAGCAACTTTATCACCACCGCCGCTGACCTCGGTGGACGCAGTTTCGGAACCTTGGGCTTTGCCCTGCCAGCACTTTGCCCCTTTGCTTTTGGCGGCACCGTTGCATTAGCCACCTTCTTAGGCTTCCTCGCCACCACACTCCATCCCTCCGTTAAGCGGGTAGGGGGAGCTGACGTAGACGGAGCCACGTCCGCCGGTGCGGTTTCCACAGCCGATCCTTTCTGAGGCTGGTTCTCCTTCCTCTTTGCTTTGCCCTTTTTGGGGTTCTTCGTCCCTTCCTTAGCCGGATTGGCAGGGGTCATGAGGGTAGTCACCCTGGCGTCACCCGTTGTAGCCTTCGGGGCAGACTTTGCCGTCGTTCTGTCGGACGCTAGCGGGGGACGGATCCGCTGCTCCGGCAAAAGCCTATCCTCTAACGCCTCAAACCGCGCATTTATCATGGTCCCTACCTGGACCATTATTGTCCGCGCAAACTCT